CCCCCAAAAAAAACACACAATGCTAACAGTGAGCCTCTGAATTAGCCCAGAGCGAAAAATGCTAACCTATTACTGCACCGAAAATCACTCCTAGCTCCCTTATTACTTATCCTAGCTGCACATCCAACACATCGTTTATGATCGTAAAGACACAGAATCTAACGGTGCCCACCTCAACTTGAGGTGGGCACCGTTAGATTCTGTGTCTTTACGATCATAAACGATGTGTTGGATGTGCAGCTAGGATAAGTAATAAGGGAGCTAGGAGTGATTTTCGNAACATTAACATTCTTTAGCCCCACGGACCCGGTGCCGGGGCCGAAATCGCGTCATTTGCAGGAAACAACGTCTAAGGAACCTTAATATTTAATAAACTATGAACATTTGATATCCATATAACGGGAAAAAACTAATTTAACTGATCTTTTTCATTTTTTTCCCCAAAAAAAACACACAATGCTAACAGTGAGCCTCTGAATTAGCCCCGAGCGAAAAATGCTAATCTATTACTGCACCGAAAATCACTCCTAGCTCCCTTATTACTTATCCTAGCTGCACATCCAACACATCGTTTTATGATCGTAAACACAGAATCTAACGGTGCCCACCTCAAGATACGAACTCGCGACGTTATCAATAAAAACGTACATCAAAACAAGTGGCGCTANATTTGCAGAAAACAACGTCTAAGGAACCTTAATATTTAATAAATTATGAATATTTTATATCCATATAACATTTAAAAAAACAAAAAAAAACACAATGCTAACAGTGAGCCTCTGAATTAGCCCAGAGCGAAAAATGCTAATCTATTACTGCACCGAAAATCACTCCTAGCTCCCTTATTACTTATCCTAGCTGCACATCCAACACATCGTTTATGATCGTAAAGACACAAAATCTAACGGTGCCCACCTCAACACTGAAAGATACAAACTTGCGACGTTATCATCAAAACGTACATCAAAACAAGTGGCGCTAGGTAGCCCACAACGCTAACATGGCTTACCTTCGTCTTTTTCTGGTCTAAACTGGTCTTCAATGGCATTAAAACGATAACAACGATGATGTAGTTAATCCATAGGTTAATATCCAATGTGGCTGTGTCCCCTTTGAAATGTTCTGATAATCTATAAGCAATAAAACTGCAATTCCGTTTTAAAAGAGCAGAGCAGGCCATTCCTACTTCATTGAATGCGCAAAGACGCCATCTTTTTTTTTAACATGAGTGTGTGCGGGACGATTTCCCTTAGATTCTATTGGCTCTAACGGTCAGAAAGAGATATCAATGTCAAAATCCAGCAAGGGGAGGCCAGAGATATGGAAAATCCACCCAAATGGCCCCAGAAGAGGTTTTTTTTTGCTAAATCTGTCTAAAAAAGGTCAAATATCACTTGTTTTGACATCAATCTTGATACAGGGTGCATATTATACGTTGTACTTTGAATTCCTAAAGCTTTTAGTCTACTAACCCATCATCCAAGGTTAGTTTTCAATATAAGTACAAAATATTTTTTGGACGGACACTATAATTTACAGTTTTTTACCATGTTCAATCTGAATTTTCTTTAAAATAAAAAACATCTATATTGGTTCTGACTCTTCTACATCCAACTCACAGGTTTATCATTACTTTGAGAAAAAAGATTATTAATTTAACCCTTTTAGAAGGGAAGATATGGTCATTTGTTCTGGGAATGTCATTTTCGAGCCTGAAACCTGAAAAACAGGCTTGGGGCTTAAGAGGAAAGATTCACATTTCAACTAATGGGTTTAGCAAGCCAGAAGCGAGCCACATTCTTTAAAACCATGTGCCAAGTGAACAAATTACATTTTTTTAAATGTGTCTCGCAACTTTAAAACCAACAACAAACTCTTTATGAGATCCTGAGTAGCTGCTGAACACTTAGTACAGCCTTCTCTGGCGGCAGAGCCAATTACCGAGACAAAAGCAGCTCAGATTGTCTCGGGCATGCACTGCCAGCTTTTGGCACATTTTCCTAAAGCTGTTGTTGCACAAAGCTTAAAGAAGTAGTGGACGTTGTCGCTGTTTGTTTGCATTATGGGGTTTTGAAAAGAGGGTGACATGCTTGTTAGCTCTATTATCAGAATCTTCTATT